AAAAAAAAAAAAAAGATAGAAATAATACTTACAATTCTGTAACATCTTCTAACACCATATCTATAAGTCTAGTTTCAAGGAAAATAAGGTATTTACATGTTCATGCAAAATATTAATTTGAAGGCTATGTGATTTTATTTATGAAATGAAATCAGCGTAACATATTAATCAATACAGGATGTTTCTGCTCAGCGAGCACCGAACGTTTTCAAAGGATACTGACAAAGTCATCAAACCCTAGAAGCGTTCCAACGATTTCTTTATCGCTCTTCATGACAATATGAATGCGCGAGCCTATGCATTTGTCCACAAGCTCTGTATGGGTAAAAAATGATAAGCGGGGGGAAGGAGGGAAATTAAAAACATACTTTTAAACAAAATGTCTAATTATGTCACTTTGCAAATTAACGTTAATATTCCTAGGGGGGCGAGGGGGGGAAACACCAGCCTCTGCCTGCGCATGCGCAGCCAGGCACGCCCGCTCTGCCCCCCCGGCCGGGCTCCAGCGGCCGCCCGTGACGTCACACCCGCTGCCGCGCACGCAACGTGCCCCGCCCCTCGCCTCCCAACGGCTGCGGCCCCATTCAAACCTCCCGCCGAACGCGCGCAACGCCGCCGGGGGAGCCCGGAAAGCGCCCTCCCTGCCAGCCCTTTGGTGGAGAGGAGTCTCCCCCACCGCCCCTCTGTGGCGGCCGCCACCGCCGGGAGAGAGCAGGGGCGGCGCGAGGGCGCCGCGCGTTACCGAGCGGCAGGAGCTGAGACGGGTTGGTGCTCGCGTTGGCCGCCATGCTGGATTCAGGCCTGGCCAATCGCTCCCGCGGAAGTGAGCGGCGCCCTGGTGGCGGCGCGGCCCGCTTTTGGGTGGGAGCGGCAGCCCCGCCTAGCGGATGTCCGAGCGCTCGCTCCCGCCGGCGGCGGCGGCGGCGGCGGCGGCGCAGGCCGCGCAGGGAAGATGGCGGGCTGGGCCCGTTGCGGTGTCGCCATCCGCAGCGGGGCCTGGCGCCTGCCCCTTATATCCGCCGCAGGGCGCTGAGCGCCCCTGAGACACGGGCTGTGCCAGCAGCGACACTCGTGCGCCTGAGTGCGCGGTAGTGAAGACAGGTGGCCCTCCACGCCCCGGGGGGTTTACCTCCCGCCTTCTTGCCTTTTGCTTTCCATGTTTTGATCAACCTAATCTTTTTTTTTGATTTTAACTAATGGATATTTTCTGTATTTTAATATACGGAATTTTTGCCTGTTTCAAATGTACTTCAGATAGCTAATACTAAGATACATATGAAATCCCTAGTTCATCATTACGGTCTTTGCCTTTTGTCTTATTTTGTTTACAGGAGAACTTTCTGAACAGGAGAGCATAATCCCAAGCAGTATCATAATCCCTAACTCAAATTGGTTTTTTTTTGGTACATGGGTAAGAGCCTTGGAAAAAAAAAATAGACTCCAAACAGGAGCTGAGATTGCAACCAGCAAGCAATTGGTGACAGTTTTCAATTCCATTCTAGGACTTCTCTTATTAACAGAAATACCAGAATGATTTCTAAAGCGTACTTACTGTTTTAAAGTAAGCTATAGCTAAAAAATCCAGTGAAATTTCAAGCTACAACAGGCACTGCTCAGTTCTCATACTACTAGGCACACAAAACTCTCTTGTAAAGGTTATCCTCCCCAAAAAGCTAGAGATATTCAGGCCTGCTAACTTTGATTGTCATTAAATTCAGAATGAGTGACAAATTGATTATTGTTCTAATAGCTGGTGGTAGCTAAGCAGATACTACTGGTGAGGGAAAAGGGCTGTCTACATGGCCAGCTGAGTTTGTCTCAGGTTTGATATCTATTAGCTACAAGTTCAGGTAGGTAATTCCTGTAGGAAAACTCCAACTGAGAGTTTTCCAGGAGCTTCCATTTCATTGCTGCTCTATCTCCCTTTCCATTTCACAAATACAGACACACAGTGTTACCTCTGAAAGGTCAAAGGAGATAGAGGTTTATTTTTTCTATAACAGGCTGATGTCATTCAGTCCAGTGTTAAAACATTTATCTTGCCTTAACAGGAAAAAAAATCAAACAATGAAAAAAAATCTAATAACCTGTTCTGAGAAACAATAATCCACAATTATTCAGCAGTCTCATTGCGATGCCCTTATAAGGCAAAATACAGGCAATGGGATTATTGCTGCGCTGCCTGTTCTTCAATTAACTGCTCTCAGACATCTCTTATTTCACTACTAGAGGAGATAATGGCTCATTAGTCAAAAAATTATCAAATGGATAATTTTGGGGGGGAAATTAAACTGAACATGATAAAAGCAAGTTACAGAAAAGACGTAATAAAGAATTGTTCTCTTGCTAGTGAGAGATTGTTTGTTTTATGCAGTTTGTCCTTGGTTCCCTAAAGTTTACTTTTTATGTAACGGAACTATTGTTGAAGTTGAATACCTATTATAAGTGTTGGAGTTGCAATTGGAGCTTTTGGGTATTGTGTTAATGACAAGATTCTCTTGTCAAGATTTATAGTCACTTCTTTTTTTTTTTCCCCCCTTTCCCCCAAAACAATCTCATCCCAATTTCCCCAAGGAAACCTGATTATGAAGAGTGCACTCACTAGCAAAGACCTTAAATAAAGGACTTCAAATAAACAGGACAGAGTCCCCAAAAAAAAAGGGTCGATGAGGGAGCAGGGTCTGAGCACAGCGAGATGAAGCTTGTACCGCCCTGGTGCCCAATTTGCTGCTGTTGTGGCCAAGTCCTAAACCCCCCTCCTTCCTAATACACATGTAGCAACCCAACAGCTTTAAGGGAAGGAGCATTAACGGGATTCTCCAACTTTAATCCATTGATGGATGCACCTCAAGGTAAGTCAGACCACGGCAGGCCTCCCTGCAGCTCCGAAAGCATCATGGAGCCCTCATTTGGTCCAACAGCAACGCTTTGAACGGGAGATATATATAAAAAAAAAGAATAAATCATCCTTCCGAGTTAAAAAAAAATAAAAAAAATAATAATTTTGTTTTGGTTTCGTTTTTTTCCTCCTCCCCCCGGCGCCGACTCGCCATTGCGGGCGGCCCCGTGAGGCGGCCCCGAGGGGCGGCCGGCGCTCCGCCCTCGGCGCCCGCCTCCTCGTGCTCCTCCCCGGCGGCCGGGCCCGGCCGCGGCTGCCCGGGCAAGGGAGGGAGGGAGGAAGGGGCCGGCGGCGGCGGCGGCGGCGGCGGCGGGGCGGCCATGGCCGCGGAGCGGCGCGGCGCCGTGCTGCACATCGTCGTCGTCGGCTTCCACCACAAGAAGGGCTGCCAGGTGAGCGCCCGCGCGCCGCCCGGCGCTGCCGCGGGCGGAGGCAGCCACGGAAGGAGGGAGGGAGGGAGGGAAGGAGAAGAGGAGGGAGGGAGGGAGGGAGGAGGATGGGGTCAGTCTCTTTAAGGAAGGAGCCTACGACGGAAGGAAGGGAAACGGCCACAAACGGAGACATCAGAAGTTCCACAGGGAGAGAAGGAAGGAGGGGGCGCGCCGCCGCCGCCGCCGTGACTCAGGGGGCCTCGCGCCCGCGGCGGCCGTTGGCGCCCGGCGCCGCCGCGGCCTCCATGGGCGCCGGCCCCGCGCGGCGGGTGTGCGGAAATGCGCGTGTGGGTATGGGCACATGTATGTATATATATATACACACACACATATATATGTATCTGTATCTGCCTGCCGCGAGATCCTGTGTGTCCGGCGTACCGGCCACTGCACTGCTGACCCCCTGTCCAAAGCTGACTCCCTTTCCAAAAGGATTCGAGTGCGTTTGAGCCTCCTTTTTTCCCCCTTCATTTTCTCTCTGATTTTAAATTTGCAGCCCTCTGTTGCAATAGAGGGCTTTTTTTTAAAAAAAAAAAAAAAAAAAAAAAAAAAAAAAAGCATATTTTGTGTCGGTAGGGACTATATTTGAGCCAGCCAAATAATGTCTGCACCCACAGTGTTGTGCTCGTGTTGCAGCATTAAAATGAAACGGGTATTTAAGGTGCCGGAGTCATTAGGTGCTTTGTGCCTGGGCAGCCTCTGGGAGAAGTGAGGGTGGATGAATAAATACTGACTTCTGCTCGGAAAGATGGTGGCTTCTGTGTTCGGAAGTGCACCCAAGTTTTAAATCATGAGATGGTGAGTAACTCTGCAAATAGCGGTGCGTGTTGTTGGACTTTTGGGTTTGTTTTTAAATATGATCGTGTTACAAGAAGACTTTGAACTCTTGGGCTGCCCGTTCCTAAAAGGAGAGAAATATCCGCGGTAGCGGGGGGATTTGGTTACCTGCCTGGTCAGCGAGCAGGGATGCTTTGTTGCTGTGTAGGTGCAGTGCTGCAGCTCGTTTGCACGGCTTGGAGCATGTCTAGCGAGCTAACCGTGTATCTCCAGCAGTGAGACCTATGATCCAACACAGATTTTGTGTCTCGAGTGTCTGACCTGCCTCACTGAATGCGTAACACAAATGCTGTTTGTTATAGTTATTCCTTTCCCGGTTCTTTCCTTCCCCGTTCTTCTCCTGTTAGTGGATCTTCAAGGACTGTATTTTGCTGTTTCCATGTGGGTAGCTGTTCCCCACTCACCCTTTCCGAAAGGGTGGCTGGAACTCTCCCTGCCTTCTGCATTGGCCCGGTGTGTTTCAGTTGTTGGGGAACTGCACGGTTTGGTAACCCATAGCACTGATTTACTCGTGGTCCCTCCTCCTTCCCAGAAGGAGCCCTCTGGAGATGAGGGAGGGCAGATCTGTCCCTTTCCTAGCGGGCCCAAGGCCACCATGGAAGGACAGCGCGTGTCACATTTACCACCCGAGAAGCCGTCCGGAACCAGCTCGCTGCGTGCGAGGTAACGAGGAGTTAAGCTGGGTTCGGCTGTGCTTCACTAGGCAGCAAGCACAGGATGGCAGCATGTGAAAGGAAAGATCACCTGAAGAAAAGATCAGCTGGAACTTAAGAGCCGTATTTGTGTTGAGTGCATTGCTGAATCTTTATTTTCAAAAAAAACCCAGTGATTACATAGATCAGTGCTTCACTCCTCAGGATAGAGGGTCAGTGTTGGTGAAGCAATGGGTCATCTCGTGTGGTTTGCAGTATTTATCAGTCCCTTCCTCGTCAAAGACTGTTACGGGATCAACATCAGCTGAGTGTCTGTCTGCAGGGAGAACTGCACATTTTTGCCCTCACTTTGTTTTTGGCCACATGGAATAAAGACAGGCTGGAGAGATAAACACAGAGGTGGCTTTTGTCACTTCTGTTACTCTTTTGGGTTTTTGCTTGTAGAACTTGTGGTGTTGGTGCAACAACAAAGCAAAAGCTGTAGATTTATTGGTATCGCCCTGACAAGAAGATGCTCTAGAAGGAAATTTTCAAGTCCTGTCAAAAAGTGGATGGCAAAATGCCCGAAGCAAAATCTTTTTACCTGAAGAATTTGCAGAGGAAGGAGGTCGCAGAGCGCGGAGGTAGCTGTGTCATGGAGAACAGATCTGTAGGAAAAGAAGTAAAATTGTTGCATTCCCAAACAGGCAGACTTTCTAAAGGAAATCTAAGGAAAGGGATCTTCGGTCATATAAGTATAAAAATAACAGAAGGAACAGCAGAGAAAATGAGAGCTTGATGATAATTTGCATATGATTCAAGCAAGTCCAAAGTCTTCAAACAAGTCCTTTCAATAAAAACTGGTATTGAGTGTGAAAACAGAGAAGAGATGAGGAAACAAGAACTAAATTCACTAAGCTTGGCTCAGATTATTTGTTTCAAAACTTCATTCTTGGATCATGTAACTTGTTTCAAAATTCAGGCAGAACTCATTCATGAAGCTGAAGGCCTCTAAGCAAGGATTTTAAGCATATACTATCTCCTACTTGTTTGTTACTGAAATATGGCAAATATATCTTCTTGAAAGAACTGCAGGCAGAGATCTGTGCAGCTATAGCCTCATGAGGTTGGCATCAGCAATGTGCAAGACTCTAGAGACATTTCGAAGGAAAGAATTAATTAACAATATGAAAGTAAGTAGAATAACTCCTGTGTGGATTTGCTAAAGATAGATCATGCCCACCTGACCTGCACATTTCATAACAGTAAGCGATTGGTTTAGTTTTTGTGTAAAAACAACTACAAATATGTATTCACACGTGCACAGACATGCATAAGAACTTTTTTGTTTATATTAGAAGAAATGCTAATCTGGCTGGAATTTGATGCTTTTTATAAAGTACGGCAAAACAAATTATTTTCAATATTGCCGAATAAGTACAAGAGCTAGAACTGGAGTGGGGAATAGGTGAAAGGGGAGGAAACAACAACGAAATTGTATCAAAAGAGGAACTGCTGGTCTGAAAGGTGCTTGCAAATGATGTTGCTCAAGACTGACTTTGGGACAATGTAACAGTTGCTATAAATGCTGCATAGAGTAAATTCTGGCTTGATGATGAGCAAATTTGTGGGATAAACATTGCGAAGGAAGGTTGGAATATCTTGTGAGAAAGGGTGGTAGTGCTGAAATGTTGGAAAAGGGATGCAATGTGAGTGCATGCAGTAGGAACGGGGAGTGCAGCAGTGTAGACATGAGACACCAAGAGGCCTCCCTTGGAAGAGAAGAATGATTGCATGTAATCACATGGGATAATTACAAGTCAGGGAAGTGGTAGGTCTGAGGGCAGGAAGAAAACAACAAATGTAGTCCTACGATGTATCAATATATGTACTAATATAGAGAAGTTCTGGTTACCATCTTTCAGAAAGAGTGATTCAGGCTTTCCTTGGTGGTTCGAGGAATGGTCGAGATGGCCCATGGACAACCCATTCTGCAGGAAGAGACCTTCAGAGGTCCCTCTCCTCGGCTGGGTGAGCCAGCAGGCTGGGTTTCCAGGCTGTAGCTGCATGAACCACCTGCATGAACTACATAAGCCAGCCCTACACTTGCCCCCTTCCTGTGCTGCCTTCGCATCGCTGCGAGGGGAAGGTAGCTCTGCGGTAAGCTGAGAAAGGGAACTGATGTGACCCGAAAGCAGCACTTTGCTCTGGTGTCTTGAGTTTGGGTTTGCTGGAGTTCTGGAGTGAATGTCTGCAGCCAACAGCTCTGCTGGAACAAGGTGGAGATTAGTAGGGGTTTGAGAAGAGCATCTCTCAGCAGTTGTAATCTGAGACTTCTGGTTTTGGTGGTCGGGGTTTTTGTGGCTTTTGAAGAGCTCGTTGAACCTCCGCACCCCAGGGAATTGTGTTCCGGGAGAACGTTGGAAGGTGAAAAGCAAGGAGGGAGGAAAAAACAACTTAAGGCTAAAGGCAAAACTGGCACCAGGACAAATGGATATGAACTGTCTATGAACATGTTCTGGACTGGGGGTGAGAAACTGATAGCTCACTGAAAGAAATTCTGAAGCAGCCTTCAAATGGGAGCGATTAAGATGGAAGTGATGAATCTGAGAATAAGAGATCATATAGCAAGCGTGCCCCTAACGACAGAGGTTGAACTTGCTTGGCTGAGAAGGCTCAAGTCCCGTGTTTCTCTCTGTGTTTCCTCCACAGACTTCCAGAAAACGCATAAAGTGTAGATATTGTAAAGAACAGTTTCTATGCTTTAACTTAAAGCTAAGTTTAAGAAAATGTTAATCTATACAGCAAAAAAAAAAAAAAAGTGTCATTTAGAAATGTGTAGGAACATTTTTGTTGCATAGTTCTCTTAAATTTTGGATTTAAAAAAAAAGAAATCAAGACTCAAAAAATTGGTCTGTTTGTGTGTGACTTTTGATTTATAGCATGCATGTCAGCAGGACTATGTGGTCTGAGCAGGTAGTTTTCAGTGTCGTTGTTGCACATTTGGAGTTGCTGCTCCCTGTTAGGGTGGCACATGTTAACGTGCTTGAAGGGACATCTCTGGGTAAGGTTGAGCTTGTGGAGGAGTGGGCAGATGTCCAGCCCACTCAGCTAGGCCTGGCAGTCCCTGATTTATATAGTGATCCTGATGAAATACCCAGAAAGTGGGTTTGCTCTATTTGATATGTCTCTCTGCCACAGAGAAACAGAGTTATAGTAATGTTCTTGCAGAGTGGGAGGAGAAGCTTGACTGGAAAATAGGTCCCGCTGGTATTTGAGAGGCTCTCAGTCAGGTCCGTAAAGAAGGCAATGGTGATTTGCTTAAATCAGCTCTTGTGATGAGTTTCTTTGCTGGGTAAGTATAGGCTGCTCTGTGATGGAAACCTAATTGGTGCCTAATTAAATAGAACAGCACCTAAACCTAAATGGTGCCTAATTAAATAGAACAGCAAATGACGTGAAACGTGCAAGCGTCTTGCGTAGGATACATTC